CTAGGAAGGGGTTGCTTTAAAATATCATTTATGCTATCTCGAATTCAATAAAACAAAGGAGAAGAAAATAATAAATTAAAATCGTTGCTTTGCTTTGGCATAGCTTTGAACAACTTAAGAGTACTTGTCTTGTGGAGCACATTACAGCAATAAACAGTGCAGAAGTGGTATTCAACACAACTTTTTACATAGGTTTTCCTTTCACCTTTTCTGTCATTTCTTTGCTTGCAATTATATAAAAATTCCAGATGCAACTCCTGTGTTCAAGAAACCAATCGTGTTTTCTCTGCCAAATTAATTTATTGGATTTTAATGCAAATCATGCCCTGTGTGACCTTCTGCCTATCGGACAGAATGTAAATTTCAAGAGCCAAGCAAGGAGAACCAAACAAAAGCCATCCAATGTTTTCAATGAGATACAAAAGAAGACTCACGTATATTACGAAGTCTGCTCCTGGGTTTGCCAAAAAAATAGCTTTTAAAGTAAAAAGTGGTCCTCCCCTTCTGAAGGATGTGCCAAGCCTTTCCATATGAATGGAATGGAATGGAATGGAATGGAATGGAATAGAATAGAATAGAATAGAATAGAATAGAATAGAATAGAATAGAATAGAATAGAATAGAATAGAATAGAATTCTTTATTGGCCAAGTGTGATTGGACACACAAGGAATTTGTCTTGGTGCAAATGCTTTCAGTGTACATAAAAGACACATTCGTCAAGAATCATCAGATACAACACTTAATGATAATCATAGGGTACAATAAGCAATCAAATCATTCTAGGAAACAGTCCATATAAATTGTAAGGATACAAGCGACAAGGTTACAATCATACAGTCACAAGTGGGAGGGGATGGGTGATAAGGACTTAGAATGCAGCATGGAATACAGGTAGTCTTCAACTTACCACCACAACTGAGCCCAAAATTTCTGTTGCTAAGTGAGACATTTGCTAAGTGAGTTTTGCCCCATTTTACGATCTTTCTTGCCACAGTTAAGTGAATTGTGCACTTGTTAAATTAGTAACACCACTGTTAAATAAATTTGGACTCCCCATTGAATCTGATTGTCAGTTGGTCACAAAAGGAGATCACACGACCCCGAGACACTGTAACTGTCATGAGTCAGTTGCTAAGCATCTGAATTCCGATCACATGACCACAGGGATGCTGTAAGGGTTGTAAGTGTGAAAACCCATTATAAGTCACTTTTTTTCAGGGCCATTGCCACTTCGAATGGTCACTAAATGAACTGTTGTAAGTTGAGGACTACCTGTACACTAAAAGCAACCCAAAGGCCCAGTTCCTATGAGTCCAAATTGGTTCATTGCAAAGCCCCAAAGCCCCAAATTGGTTCAAAGCCCCAAATTGGTTCATTGCAAGAGCCCCAAATTGGTTCATTGCAAGAAGAGACACAGAATTTAAGGGATGCTCATCGCTTGCCAAATCATGAGAGATGTGGGGACCTGCTCCTAAGGAGACATTTCACTCCAGCTCAGTTTGGGTAGGGAGGAGGACTCATTATTTCTCATGTGCTGAGATTTAGACATGAACATAATACCTAAACTTGGCTATTATTAAGTCAACACAACTGTAAAGAAGGAATTACAGAACATCTTAGCTAAGTTCCTTACTATCCAAAGGTCGTAGTATCATACAGTGTACAGCTGAAGTTAGTTGCTGTTTGGAAAAGGAAAGAGATTCCATCCTCACTCACACACCAAAGTTTACCGAGTGACTTTGGGGCAACCTCTCTCCGTCGATTACTTCACGTGATTGTTGTTTTAGGAATACTACGAGAGAAAATTATGCGCACCTTATGAACAGCTTACAATGTACCAGGGATTTCCCATTACCTTTACTTTTGGAGAAAATTATCCTTATTTTTACATTCTTCCTAGCGGTTTCAAGCTTCTGCTATTTTTTAATGACTTTATCTTATGTTGTTGCTCCGCCAACTCTATAATCACTGTCCATAGTCAAACGACCTGGCTTCCTTTCCATCTTTCCTATTCGCTGCTCTGTTTAGGCCTCCTTCCCAGAACATATGGTGCTACCTTGTCCTTTTCCTTTTCAAAACTCAGTTTTACCAAAAAAGATTTTTAGGTATAGGGGTTTCCTGCTTGAGCAGAGGATTGGATTAGGCCCCTTCCAGCTTCATTCTGATTGACTGATTGATTTGTTTTATTCCTTATCATCCTCATTTCCAGACCTAAGTATATTTAACATGTGAAGTATGTGCTCATATTCATTTTTCTGCCTGCAGCCTTTTTATTGGGGGGGGGGGGGGGTCAAAATTTTGGTTGTTCAGATTCTTCAGGGAAGGGAAATTATTTTTACTCCATTCTTCTTTTGCTTTCTGCTTACCTGTTAACATTAATAGCACTTTGGTGCTAGGAATAAAGCAATACTTCGCTTTGTTTTTTGTTCGCCCTTCTTGTTACTTAATTGTAGTGTGAAATAAGTTCATCTGCGATCAAACTCATCCACCCCCAGCTCTATGCCTTCTGCCAGGTTGGTGACTATGTTAAAAACAACCTCCCCCAAGTTTCATTACCAGCCTACTTTATCCACCTGCTCTTTAAACCTCTCTTTTTTTATCCCAGTCAGAGATAACCTGCCTCATTTCAGACATTGTGCACCGCAACTTCTATTAAAACAGTTGTGGTAAGGGATTATAGGAGATAAAGTCCAAAACATTGGGAGAGCGCCAAATATAATCTATTCCTTTCCTAATCCTTTTTCAGTACTTCCTTCGCTGAACCTGTTTCCCTGTCCCTGTTTTATCCATTACGCATATCTTGAGGGTGGGGTGCTGGGGCAGAGATACTTTTTATTCTGAATAATGGGAAGTTGGTTGGTTGGGCTTAAGTCCTTTTTCACTATTTAGAGAAGATTGTTATCTATCCACCCATCCATGTATCAAAGTAACATTCCTACTTCAAGGCTTAGAAGGCAATTTAACCGCAAATACAACCTAGCCAAAGAACATTGCTTATCTGCCCATGTTCCTTTGTTCCTCAACATCCTACCTGACCCAGAGCCTCACATGTAAACAATAGCACTGGAGTAAGAGAGGTCACCAAACTTTGGGGTCAGGACAGGGATATTCTTCTTAAGGGAGAGACAGTTTTAGCCTGCTGAGTTAGGGAATGGTTTTCGGTGAAGGGGCCAAGCTTTCACGGTCGTTTAGCGAGGACCACTGTCAAATTCTTGCCATGAAAGGAACATGCCTGCGTAGGGCTGTGAGGCCATTGAAAAAAACCTGGGTGGTTTTTTTTTGGCCCCCTCAGAGCAGCTTTCCCAACCCCTCTGGAAAGGGGAAACGGGGAGTGTTTCGTAGGGGACTTTTCGCATTTCCCGGGGATTCTGCCCCTCTTCCACGTGGTTGAGGTCGGCCGACAGTCGAGTGGCGCAGCGGTTACGCATCAGCCCCCTCGGTTTTCGTCCGACGCCGGCGCGCCTCCGAGGCCCCACGCAAGCCCCGCATCCACCCGCTTCGCGCTCTCGCTCTCCTCCCGAAATGTTTTATTTAACATGCTGTACCGGAAGGAGAAGCCATCTTCCCTCTCCTCAGCCCTGAGCCGCCGCCGCCGCCACCACCGCTGCCATTCGGGCTGTCGTGCGCCCCAGCCCCCGGATCTCGGGGGTCGTGGGAGGAGAGGCGTGGGGAATCGGCTGGCAACCCCGGGCGGCTGGGGGCGCCCTGGGACGGAAGCCTAGGGCCCGCTGCATAAAGAGCCGAGGGGAAGAGGGCTCCGCATCTCAGACGCTGCCGGAGCCTCCCTTCCCTGCGCACGCACGGCCCCGATCCCGGCAGGAGAGGGTGGAAGCGGCCGCCTGCCGCCGGCGGCGCAGGGGGAAGACCAGCTCGAGCGCGCAGGGATGCGGTTCCTCCAGCCCGGCGGCGCGGCTGCAGTTGAGGCTGCAGCAGGGAGCGGAGCTACCGGTAGCGCTGCAGACAAAAGAACCGCCTGCGCCTGCTGCTGCCCAGCCAGCTCCCGAGGGGAGGAGGAGGAGGAGGAGAAGAAGAAGAAGAAGAGCGGGCCCTGTCGCTGGGGCTGCAGGTCCTGAAGCGGAGGAGCCGCCTCCCCGCCGCTCTGGCGGCCGGCGGTAAAGGGAAGCTCCCGAAGAAGAGGCGCAGCCCGCGGTTGCAGCGCGTCTGCTGAATCCTCCTCCTCCTCCTCTTCTCCCTCCTCCTGCCTTCCTTCCTCCCTCCCTCCCTCTCCGGATCCTCCGCGTAGCCGATTGCAGGCCCTGGCCGCCGGAAAGCTCTCCCTTGACTCGCCTCGCTTTACAATGGCCCGAGGAAACCCGGACGCCGGCCTCCCGCGGAGGGTCCTGGAGGGACTTTTGCAGCGCGCCGAATCCTAGCGGAGAGCAAACCGGCGCCTTTCCCCCCCCCCCCCCCCCCCCCATCCCGCTTCGGAAAGAGGGGGAGCGCGGCTCCTGTTCCAGCCTAGCAGCCGTCCCGCCAACACCTGGACCTCGCGCCGGGACGCCTGCCCAACTCCCTACCCCACACCCCTCTCCCGCCCCGATCGCCCACCCCGGCGGGACCCGGCGTTGTAGAATTCCGACCTCTCGCCCGCCCGCCCGCCCGCCCGCGCCCAAAGCCCTTTCTCTCCGTCATAGCGGGCTGCAACCTCCCCCTTCCCATTTTCCTCCTGCCCTTCATCCATCTCTGCCACCCCCCGCACCCAACCGCGGTCCCTCCCCGACACCTGTAAACGCGCCGCTTGGCTTTCCCCTTCGTCGGCGAGATGTGGGCTGCGAGTCTGGCTCCTTCCGTGCCCCGGTCTTCCACCTGCCGGGCGCTTTCCCGATCTTCTCCGTCCCCCGATGCTAGGCAGGAGGGGCACAGCTAGACGGCGGCGTCCCGCACCCCACCTCTCCGTGACTCTCTCTCCCCCCCCCCTCCCCATCCCGAAAGGTACACGCTGCTGCTGCTGCTGCCGCCGCCGCCGCCGTCGAGGGGGGAAAAAAACAAAAAAGGTAAATGATGTTCAAGTACCGGATCCGCATGTTTTTCAACGAGCTGAAGCTGCTGGTGTTGATGCGGCGGGGCCGCCCGGAGCCCGAGCCTGGAGCTGGGGGAAGCCGGGGAGCGCTGGGCGGCAGTGGCTGCGGATGGCCGCCCTTCGCCGATTGCTCGGTCCAGCAGGACGATGAAGCGGAGTATTACGGCGGAGGAGGCGCCGAGACCCGGCCCCGGAGCCTGGCTTTGGAGGAGAAGGACCCTCGCCTTCAGCCTCCGGGGCACCAGCCGGGGCATCAGCCCACCGCGGGGGGAGCCGGAGGAGCTTTGGACTCTGTCTCGCTCAGCAGCAGCTTGGATAGTGGCATGAGGACCCCGCAGTGCCGGATTTGCTTCCAGGGACCAGAACAGGTCAGTGGGATGAAAGCCATGTCCTGGGAGGGGGAAAGAGGTTGTCCTGGGTTTTGAGGTGTGGCTGAACCCCAGAGGTTTTTTTTAAAAAAAGCCTCTGGTGCCTGGGTCAAGTTAGAGCTTGATGGCAGGAGGCCAGACCAGATGGATGTGAGGGGAGGGTGGGCCAAGAGGATGGGCTGGACACCACTGGACAACTTCCTCCCCAATTTTCCCCAGGGCCTGAATCTTGTTGGGGACTCCTGTCAGTTTGTGGTTCCAAATGTCCAGGGGGGAGGGTGAGGGGAGGCAAAGAATAGAAACACCGAGGCCAAGGTAGTGGAGGAGTGTGTCAGGCATCAGTGCAGCAAGAGCCATAAAGTTACCAAGATGTCAATGAAGTTAGTCACTTAAATATATATATTAAATATATATATATATACTGAGGTAGAGAGGCTTGGATGCCTCTGTCGCCTGGTGTCAAGGTGGGGACTACATCACCTCCTGAAACCTGGTTTCCAGGATGCCAAGGATTTGAGATCTGTTTGGGGACATGAGCTGAGCGATAGCTCCCAAGACTTGTTTCAAGATTTGTTTTATGTTTGTTTCTGGAGAAGCTCCTTTGGTGCCATGGGATGAAAAGAATGGCATGTGCATGCAAAGATGATAATAGTTCTTAATCCCTGGGAAACTACAGTGACTTCCCTCTTTTCCTGCCAGCTCACATGTGGGTTTTACGCCTTGCCATTTATTTCCAAGGAACTCCAAAACCTTCTGGAGGAAGTTGTATCAGATGACCTCGTTATGGATATGGGGGATGGCCTGGGTATCAACCCAGGTCACTTACTCTAGATAGGGAACCACAGGAGAAGCATGCTATCTCTTGAGATGGCTATCATTAGCGTTTGAGTGGAAGTGGAAGCTGCTCTGAGACCATAAAGAGAATCCTGGGTTTACCAAAGGTGTATTGTGCTGTTTAAGATGCTTGGAAATGCAACATATTGTGCCAGGATTGGAAAGCCATCCACTGGGACCTGAGGTGCTTCCTGTGAATTCCTTTTCTTTGCCTGGCCTAGAGCCTTTTATGTTTGCCTGTGCTGACAGGGTGTCTTTAGGATTTTTTTTCCTCCCCTAGCCAACTGCATTTAAGAGTGCAGAGTGATGGGCTTTATGTACTAAGACAAAGAAAGAGACGTCTTCTTTGAAGAGTGCCTGTGTGCAGCAACATCAGTTGTAGCGGGGTCCCTGCAGGGATGGGAAAGGCTATTCTAAAAAGACCGGGCAGTCATTTGCTGCTGAAAGGAGGCTGGGTGGAGAATTTGGGGGGTGGTGGTGGTGGTGGAGGGGTTCCAGTGGCTAAAAAGCAGCAGGAGGCTTAAACACCGAACATGGCAAAAGGCCTCCTGAGTTGTGTGTCAATGGGAAGAAGACCACACCTCCAGGAGTTGTCTGGTTGGTTCAGAGAAATGCCACCTATTGATCCCTGTCGCCACCTCTTGCAGCAAAGCTGTGTTTTCCTGCAAGAAGCAGGCTGTTCCAGGCATGCCAGTGATGGTCACCTATGGCTTAAAGCTTTGAAATGCACAGAAAAGACAACAGTTTGCAAAAAAAAAAAAAAGAGTAGACACTGGGCGCCTCTGGCTTCCTCGCCTCTGAGATACTCGTGGGAGAGACAATGGGAGGATCATTTGAAAGCATCTCCGTGTCCCACTTTAGATAAGTGAGGATCTATGAAATCGATACCGATTGTATTGTGCAGGGAGAATAAAATGAATATGGGCATTACAATTCATAGTTCAGGCAGCCATAATCGTTAATACCAGCTAATTCTCCCACTGTGTGGTCCTGGACAAAAGTGTTCTAGTCAGAATACGTTGTTACTGACCCATTTGGCATAGGGAGAGCAACTGGTCTGTGGGGTTTGCATTTTGGGGGAAAGGGGGAAAGGCAAGGAGAGTGGCTTCATGTGTTTTATTTAACAATGCCCCAGCCCGATTCCCTCCAGATGCATTGGACTTCAGCACTTCCCCTAATGCTCAGACAGCGTGGGTTTAAAGTCACGTTGGCTGGAAACTATGAAAGTTGAAATCCAGCACATCAAAGGTGATTAGGCTGGCAAAAGTTGCCATACCGCAAGATTACCGTGAGCGGGAAAGACTCCATTTAGGCGAAATAAGCCTGAGAAATGCAAAAGCAGTAGTAACCATGCAGATTAAACCCAGTTACAGAATTGGACGGTACCTGTGCTGTTTCCCCCCCCCCCTTGATTAGTTCATCTGAAGTGGATAGGTTAGCCTTGCTGAGCATTACCTATCCTAGCTAGTGTTGGCTCTTCAAGTTCTTCAGCAAGAAAGATTTGCTCCTCTAGTCATTTTAACTAGGGATACCAGGAACTTATTCCTTCCTCCTGCAGAACGTGTGCTTTGCTCCTGGGGGAAAGGACCCTTTCAGAAAGGTCAGCCAAAGTGTTAAAAGAGTTGGGCGTACCAGGGAGAGAAAGTGCTGAAGTCAAGCAAGCGACCATTCGGTGATCCCTTCTGCAGGGTGGCAGTTCAGACGGTCTGATGGAGCTGGATGGGTGGTTTCCCCCTTTTTAGCTGAGATGAAGAGGTAGAGAGAAGCCGGGTGTCAGGAAGGCATGCAAGGAAAAGCTCTTTTCAGATCATGCCCTGTGCATGCTTGCATCACGCCAGGATTCAGTCTGAGGAAGGGAGGCTATTGTGTGGAAGGCAGCATTGATTGAAAGGCTGCTCGCATCCTTTCACATATTGAATGAATGGAAAGCTCTGAAAGCTCTATGAAAAAGCCAGGCGACTGAGCTGGCATGATTGTAGGGTGTGGCTGATTTTTTTTGTGTGTGTTTTTTGTTTCCGTGGCTGCACATGTCGACGTGAAAAAAAAAAACCAAACACCTCCACTCTGATTTCCCTTTCACAAATTGGAGGGAGGGAAATAAACGAAGGCGCCCATGCACTTTTTGTGTGCCTGTTGCTCAGATTTAAAAAGCTTTTGATGAACCCTGGTGCAAACCGGGACCGCATTTTGATGTGCTTCAAAGCACCTTGGTAAAACTGGGTTCGCACCATGAGGCATGCGTGTTACTTGGCGACTCCCTTCCTGTGTCGTTAGATTTCAGGAATATTTGAGCATTTTGCACTTCTGTCTTTGGGCTCACGTGGATGCACACACCATGCTTATAAAGGCTGTACAAGGTTACCAGTACAGGGTATAGAAGTATTGTACTGGTGTTTCCTCCACCTCAAGCTTCTTGGTGTGTTGTGTATTGCCTCAAACTAGCAAATATATGTGTCTGTGTAACCAGATTCTCATTTCTAAGTAGTTCGGTGTTTTCCTGAGACCCAACTTGGAGTTGGGAGGAGAGGCCTTTCGCTTTCTGATGAGTAGATGTGTATATTGTACCTCAGGTTTGTTGTGCATGTCCATATGGGCATGCACGTGATTGTATTTCCATGTGGCCAGTCATACGCATGTAAACCTAACCTTTTGCAAGCTAGAGCTCTCCAGATGTACTGACTATAACTCCCATCACATGCCCAGCAGGACAAAGCCTGCGATGCCTAGGAGATAGTGAGTGCCACAATTGGATCAACACAATTGGATGCCCCCACTTGGAGGACCCTGGGATAGATGATGTGAGCGAGTTCTCTAACTCTTAGTCTGGCTTAATTAACTCTTAATTTGAGTCAGAATTAGCCCCAGACTTCTTTAAAAAAAAATTCCACCAAGTCCACCAACTGTGCTGCATGCAAAATAATGAGACGGGGGCAAGCATACTAGACGCTGAAACATAATAGGCATCAAGTGGCACTTTTTCTCCCCCTCCCCACCAAAAATACTTCTTAATAAAGTGTTAGAGTCCAGCGGAAGTGGCTCCACATGGTGAAACAAGAGCATCCTTGTGTAGCTTCACTTGATTCCAGGGGGGCTTTGGCAGAGCACCTCCCTGAGGGATTATGCTGCATAGATCAAATTGATCCAGTTTCCCCCACCACCACCAATTTACACGGCCTAAGTGCCTTGACTCTTGAAAACACTCCTGGATTCAATTGTGCTTCTGTCGTACATGTATTTGGAGCACATAAAATGACTTCTGGTTTAGGTTCATCTGTCTTGATTCCCTTATGAAGTTGTTGAAACTTGTTCCCAAATATAAAATAGTGCAGGCAACAAACACTACATTCCCCTGTTTATGAAACGTATACACACACCTATCTGTACAGGACATGGAACCACAATTGGTTACAAGCTCTCTATAGAGTACATGTTGGACGGCAGACCTGGGTTTGCTTCTGCCTAATGTACGAAGTATCCCTCTGCTGAGCAAAAAAAACCCCATAAATTAAAGCTTGAAAGTTGTACCAGGAGCAATAGCGATGCCTGCCATTGATTCCGGAGAATTGCCTAGAAATTTTTGGCTTCCCGGGAGGTGGTCTGAAAGTGGAAGATGTTCTTGGAATTATTAAAAAGTCACGTGGAAGTTTGAACACCGCTCAAAAAGAAAAGAAAGGAAAGGAAAGTTCCGCTTAAAGTTCTCGGGGCATTTTATGATTATTATGATGTAGCATTTGGAACAGTTTAGGGAAGAAACTATTGTAGTTCAGCTCATGCCAATTTCAGCTCCTGGCATGCCTAATTAAAAGGATCAAGCAGCAGACGATGATGGGGAAAGCTGCTTTCCAGCTGAGATCCTGGAAAAGTTCGTTCCCTTAAAGGGAGCAACACTGGATTAATCGAACAGACTGTTTCACCATGTTGATAGCAGCTGCTTCTGTCCTGATCAACAGAAAATCCCTGCCACACCCACTTCCAACCACAAAATCTATTGTCCCCCCCCCTCTCTCTCTGCTACCCTGATATAAATGGCCGTTCATTTTCATAATTTCTCCTCATCTAAATATAAGAGAGGGATAACAGAAATGCTGGATTTTTACTCTTCTATGCTCTGCCAGGCGGAAACTGGTAATCATTGTGTTTGTGGTAGGCCTGATTCAATCTGGAGA